GACTTGTAGTTCTGTGCGAAGAGAATTTATAGCTTCTAGGATGGTAGCATTAGCCATCGGATAGCTACCAGTCCGGGGCGGCAGGGCCTGGCTCTCTCGATTTCTTGTCCTTGTTGGCGGCATGCATCCTTAAATTTGCTTTCATCCTGTCCTGATGCAGTTAAAGTCCGAACTGTTCTCACTCACAACCTGTTATAAGACTGCCCAAATGCCAAGCTAGTGATAAATATATTTAGAAATTTGCAGGAGCTCAAGGGAAACGCCGCCTACTTCTCCATCGGCCCCCCCAACTTTTTCTTTTTCAACCGTAATAAATGATATTCAATTGACCTGTTATGACTCAGATGGTGGCTGTCCGCCCCTCTGCTGCTGCCGCAACGCTGTGGAAAACCTGGAGATATCTGCGGCTTATAGTGCGGAAAATACGGTATTTATTTCATAAATAGTGTTATTTCCTGGATTTTTTCTGTGAAGAACCCAGAGAGGGTTATTTGATTGTCCTTTCTGGAAAACAAGACATTTGTACATTTGGGCTCCTGCAATCGTCACTTTTTCTGTTACAAACTGACTCCGGTCCCCAGCAGAGAAGCGGAAAGTTATGTGGCCCTCAGGAAAAGGTTTGGGGACCCCTGGTCTCAGCGTTCATGATGTGTTTAAAGGCGGCTCGGAAAAACAGGTTATGACGTGTTAACAATGGATTAAATAGTTTTAACTGCTGAAAAAAGTTAAAACTTTTTAAAAAAAGTTATATCATCTGTATCAAGATGGGGCTTGATACAGACGGAAGCCCCATCTGTATCAAACCGATATAGGAATAACAGAGAGTTGTTTGTTGTTTTTTCCATTTTGAGGAAAAAACAACAAACAGTTTCCAGTCCAGGGCCACGGCTGACTCTGTGGGCGGACGATGCCCACCAACGCTGCCGGGCCTGTGTTTACATCAAACATTTGAGTTATATGATGAATATTTCTGATAAGTACTCATGGTATATTTTCTGATATTGGACAGACCGCTCTCCTTTCA